TTACAGTAGCTCAAATTTGAAGTTACCAGTACATGGATCTCTCTCTGAACAAGTGATTTTAGTCCAAGAATGGTCATAGCTGCTGCGTCAGCTCAAGCTGTAATAGGCGCTCTTTGACATCCAATGTCACTTGGGCTTTGAGTTGCAGAGCACCCCTAGTCTTTGTACATGTCCTTGAAGAAAGCTTGCAAACCCATCCAAGACAGGTATATTACCCATTCCTGCGTGACTTAACAGGATTCACTTTTAGTTGGTTGACCCTCATCCATCACATCACTGCATCCAGGCATTACAGAGAAACAGAGCTGAGCGTCATCCACATACAGATGTTGGTGCATTAATGGGAGGTGAACTGGGCACCTCAACAGAATCTGCCTCAGCTTGGGTGTTCAGATTGTGAGGGAGACAAATGATTGTGTCCCCAAAGTGTCAAGCAAATCTGTCACAGCTGGTTTCTGAGGATGTCAACATACTATTTGTTGGGGCAGAAGATAATAAGCCTTGTGCCATTCAGAAAACAAACATATATACATACAAACCATGGTTGGATGGCTACTATAGGAAGTTTTCTTTGCTGAATCCTGTGCCCCACAGTAGGTATGCGTGTAGACTTTATCTGTGTTTGGTCGTATGTCAAAAGCTCTCTATCATCTATCTTCATTAAGCCATTTGGGCTCCACAATGCCAACAACATGTGTCAATGGCCTGCCTCACCATTCAATAGTAAAACCAGGTCCTCAGCAGGTTCATCGCTTTAGCTGGAGACTTCCTCAAAGTATTCAGGAATTTTAGATTCCACAAGTCACTGAGGAAGACTATCTTAATCTGTCTTCAGATGTGCAGGGTGGACAGGCAGTTGCCTGACCATGGCAACAGGGCTGTTTAAACATTTCTTACTATCAGACTAGCCCCTCACACTCAGAAACAAGATTTTTTTCTCAAGAGTTACTGCATTTTGCTCCAAAAAAGACTAGAAAGGCATTTGTTAAATAAGTTTTTAAAAATCAATTTATGTCTTACTCTCCATTTTGTGCCTTATATTGTTTTCATGTGTCAACATTTTTAATTTTATTAAGACCAGGTGTCTCAAAAATGGATGTGGTCCAGGCCTCCCCAGACCACTGAGAAGCCCTATCTGCACATAATAAAACAATACTAGGTTGAACCAGGCCATAGGTTTAATATTCCAAAGCAGTGCATTTTAAGAATGTTTGCTATATTTCTTTATTTTTTATGACTCACTTTAACCATAGCAATGTTAACATCACAGATCAATGTCAGCATTTCATAGAACAGGTTTTGTGCCTTTGACATATTTAGTCCATAACAAAGATTTGTCCATTTGTAGAACCAGTCAGCTGGCCAAAGATATAGGTGCTCTTGAGAAATGATCACCCTTTTTTGAAATATGGGGGGTGGGTGACGCTGTCTCCCATTTTCCTTAAAGAGTATCTCTGCTAGTTTCATTTTGTCATGACACATAAGGTGCCTGGGATTCAGCCAAAACTATCCCCTTTTAATCTGATTCAGATTGATTGTGCAATTCTACAATCTTTTTCATGCCACCCCGTTTCATGTGTAAAAGAAGACATACAGGAAAGAAAAAAAAAGAAGACATACAGGAAAACAAAGTCTCTAACAGGCACCCATAGAAGGTAGGTGGGTTGTATTTGGTTAGCATGTTGAGTCACATTTTGAGCTGGCCTGAATTGGAGATGGGTGGGCGGGGGAAACTAACAGTAGTAGATAAAGAAAAAACAGGAATAGTGGTTTGGGGGAGAAAACAATGCTAACAAATATTTGAGTGCAAGACAACCATGACAATACAAACATGAGCTGCACTTACAATTGGTAACAGTTTAAACAGTCAATACTATGGAAGTGCACTTCCTTCAAAGCCATACTATGAAAGCATGCACATATAACCAGAAATGCTTTTAAATGCCATGGCTTAATCCTGGAAAATGTGAGTAGAGATAGGATTAATATTAAGCATTTACATCATGAGAAGGCAAGACTGACTGGAGAAGACAATCATGTTAGGGAAAGTTGAAGGCAGATGTCAAAGGCGAAGACCAAATATGGGATGTAGGAAGAGCTGAATGGAGCTGTCATGGACAAGACATTTTGGAGGACTTTTACTCATAGGATCGCCATGGGTCAAAGATGACTTGATGGCATGTAACAACAACAGTGCACAAAGCTCTGTCCACACATATCTGGGATTGAAGGTGGAAGGAACATGGATTCTGGGAGGAACTCCTTTCTGGAAATAAACTCTAAGACTGCAATTACTAGGGAATAAGCTCTACTGAACTCATTGGAATGTATTTTTCTGGATTGTGCTACTTGTATCTTTTGTCTTCAGGAAAAGAAAACTGCTGTACAGCCTGCTCTAGAGTGTCAGCACAGCCACAGTCTGAAGGAATAACAATCCTGTGTACAGCTCTGGTTACCACCCCTCAAGAGGGATATTCTACAGCTGGAAATGATGTAGAAAAGGGCTTGGGGTAATTCCTCTGTGAGGAAAAGTTACAACATTTGGGATGTTTTAGCTTTAAAATGGTGGTGTGAAGTGGTAGGAAGCATGATAGGTGTGTAAAAAATTATGGACTCTGTGGAGAAAATGGATAGACTTTCTTGTAATACTAGAAATTAGAGTTTGAGGTTGAATGGTGGGAGATTCAGGAAAAATAAAACAGAGAGTGCATAGTTGGAATTTGCTACCACAAGATATAGGGATGCCTATCAATTTGGACAACCTTAAAACCGGATTGGATAAAATTAGGCTCATGGAGGTTAAGACTATCTATCCATGGTTATGAAGGGTGTCTATTACCTTCAAAATCAGAGAAAGTATGCCTCTCAATAACATCTGCAGGGTGACATGAACAGGAGGCTTCCCACTGACATCAGATCAGCCACTCTGGGAAAAGAATGTTAGACTAGATGGAATTTTAATCTGATCTAGCATGGCTCTTATGTTCTTTTTATCTTTTCTGTAGTCTTTGAAAAACGCCACATGAAGACAAGAAAAAGTCAGCACAGAAACATTGCAAAACTATTCTGGCAATGACATTAAAAATACCACTCTACACACAGACACAGTGGTGAATTAAGTGGGATTTACTCCAATCAATCAATCCAGTCAATGACCAGCATAATCACAGAAACAGTATCAAAATTCCTATTACTGTACAATTAGATTTAAAATCCAGAATCTAAACAGAGGATGATATACATTGTATTTAAAAAGGTATTAAATTTTTTATACTCATTACGAACAATATCCTGTCAGATTTTACAAACAGTTGCCAAAAAATTCATTCTCTGAGCTGTGATCTGTGCATTAGTTTCCATAGGAAAAATCTTGGCCAACTCTTCATCTGACTGGCTGGTATATAATCAGGAAGAGAATAAATTTACCATGTACTTCTTGGTAAAATGAGCAGTAAGACGTGATGTGCTCTGTTGTTTCCACTTCTCCTGAACCACAGGGGCAAAGCCTTTCTGACATGGTGTCCTTCTATAGCAGCCTTCAACAATAGTCAAAGGAAGTGCTCCTCAACTGTCCAGAAGGAAAGCCCTCCTATGCTCCAGAGCTCTAATAAGGAGAGATAGGCAGCTGGTGCCACAGCTTACCTAATATTCTAACATTCTGCTGATATCCTCTTGTCATTTGATATCTAACCGCCTCTGCCTCACTTTCACCTGATCCAGACCCGTTGCCAGAACAGCTTCTGGGGAGATCCTCAGATTCCTCAGCTTAACTGTCTTAAGCCAGGAAGATTCAAAATTATCTTGGAGGATTAAAGATGTTAGACCCTGTGGATTGTAATTTAGCTGGAGCCAAAAATTGATAGAGGTTAAAGAAACCCTGGCCTTGAATTTTACCAAGCCAGAATCTAAGCGCAAACTCACATTGGAGACACAGCTGGACACTTGAAATATAGTTCTTAAGAACCTTGATTAGACATGTTCTAGAGGGTCAAAGCTAGGTGGGGGGTGGGGCAGTGGCAGTACCGTCCCATATAAAAGATGAGACAGGGTTAGGAATTTACTCCAAAATGTGAAACATAGGAGTGTGTGTTGTATGTGTACCTATGGTATTAGATTAGTTCTTTACATGCCAAGGTAATAATACATTTATTTTATCAGTGCTCAAATTTGCACTGCCTGGCATGGAAACCCTTGCCCTGAACCAATCACAGTTCAATGAAGGGTTGAGGTGGGCTAATGAGATCATTTAGAAATATTCTGCATCCTATGAATGCTTAACTCTGTATTCACAGACACTTACTCCCTGGTATGGGTACCTAGAACTGGAACTTTAGTAGCCCTTAGGATACCTAGAATCGGAACCTTCCAATGCACTGAAGCCTGGCATTCCTGTTACTTCAAATTAAATCAGCTAACACCTACGAAACAAGAGCAGAAATAAGAAAACAAAGTTGCAGCAAAATCAATTCAAAATATGGTGTTAAGTTTTGACGAGGGTAAGGGTCAGAAAGTCTCCAGAACTTGAGTCAAGAGAGAGAGCTGATCAGGTTTGAGGACGTCTACTTGTTAAAATCTCTGAGATTTGCGAACATGTTATTTCTCCTAGGCTATTTTAGTTGTTTTTCCCCTTCAGTGAAGGATTTGCCAACCCTTTACTAAGATACAATCAACTCTGAACTACCTTTGCCTCCTGTTGTTTCAGCATTCTCTATTAAAGAGGAAGGGAAAACACCAGCTAGAGAAATAAACACCTCCCTTCCATGCAGTTGTAATACGTATCAGCCATCTTTACGACGGGTAATCGTTTTTGCTTCAGCTAGACTGAATCAATGGGATAAGCTAGCCATTTTAGCGATGGGCGGACGCTTTCCGAGCCGACCTGAAGGAAGCGGCTGCCATTCTAGCTGAGGGCAGCTTTGCCTCAAAAGACGACGGCAGCTTTCTTTTCTAAGGGCAAAGGTACAGAATCAGGGAGTTTGTTATCCGCCCTATAGTGTGACCACTCCTCCCCCTAGCTCTTAAAAACATATTTCCTGGTAAGACGAGCCAGCACTTCGTAGCTTTTCTTGACTTCGGCTGTGTTCTCCTTTTTTTAAAAAATTAAATCTGTCAAGTTCTTCCGTAGGGGTTTGAAGGCAGTCGGGGAAAGCAACCACATGTGAGTAAATCCGCTCTGTAAGAATGCAACTTGCAACAAGCCTGAGAGAAAATGAATTGACGGGCAAAGGCATGGCATGCATAGCAGACACTTTTCCCTCCTGCGGCGGCTGCTTCGGCGGGCGATCGCTGGCTTATTAAACATTTTCGTTCGCGGGAAGTTCATACGTCCCCATGCAAGAATTAACCCTTTGTCGCACAGAATGAGGCGATCGTGTCAATAAGGGAGACGTCACAGATGCCTAGCAAAAGGCTTGGGAGTAATTGGGTGGGGAGTAAATACTGGGGCCGCTCAGCCGCGTCATGGAGGTCCTGCTATCCATGGTTTGCCGTCCTGCTATCTCGGGCCTATATTTCTCTGGTGTTCTGTTTGTGACATCGAGTCACGGTTAAAGCTTAGGGTCCAGATAATGCACTCGGTCTTGTGATAGCCCTTCCGCTCTTGCGAGGTGCTCTGCAGGGAGCAGGAGGAGAGAACGAACCTGATTTTGTTGCTTAAAGCCTCAACCCTATCCAACCTTACCCGCGAGTAAGTCCCTGTTAGACTTATTTCTGAGTAGACATACATAAGATTGCACTGTAAAGGTCCTCAGCAATGTGAGTTTGAAATAACTGCTACAATTCTTTTTGCACTACAAGTTTTATAGGTGGATTATGAGGTCAAGAAGTCAACCACAACTACCATATATGCCTATATGCATACTCTGAAACATTTTGTATGTGCCTCATTTTTGATGAGTTTTCAGTGATTATTTGTAATAATGCAATAGAGTTGGCTGCAGCATGAAATCCACTCATATTGGCACAGCTCCACTAAATAATCTTGTTTTCTTAGAAATTTGGTCTATTTGCCTTGGCATGGAACATACTGGGCATTCAATGAACTGTAGGGAAGGGATGGGACTCAGTGGTTCAGCACCTGCATTGCATGCAGGAGTTTCCCAGGTTCTGTCCCAGTATCTCTGTGTAGGTATGGCTGGGAAAATCTCTCTCTTGAAACCTTGGACAGCTGCTGCCAGTCCTTGCAGAGACAATGCTGCATTCAATGGACCAATATAAGGCATTTCGAATCCTTGTTCCAATAAAATATTTCTTAATGATCAGAATAATGTAATCTTCAGCATCATATGGTGGGAGATATTTCATAGATACCTAGATATTTTTTTCTGGTGAATCAGTTGTTTCAAAGGTGAATTCTTTTTAAAACAAATGATATCCTGCCTCTCTATCAAAGAAAGTTTCAGTTGAAATGAGCTACTTTCTTCATTATAATTTTCAGCCTGAATCTCTATCTTGTGGCACAATTTGGCATAGGAAGGACTTCTATCTGTGAGTCAGTCTTCACTGCACTCCCTTTGTGTTCATGCCTAGCTCTCCTGTAAAAGCTTTTGTAAAAATATTCTGTTACAGTTTTCAACCCAGGAGTGACTGACAGGATGAATTGCAGTGATTAAAATCTTCCTTTAGAAACCAGCCTTCTGGTTCAGGAAAAAGTGTGTCCTGGTTTGTACCCTAGAAATTTAAATACATTTTCACTCTTTTCACCAAGTATTGTAGTTTTGCAGAGGTAACATGGTGTTGCTAATGCTGTACGAGTTTAGTAAGCACACACGGGCTTATGAATGCTTATTCGTAGACTGTGAATGCATATCCAGTGCAGACTGCTTCACACTTTAGCCCTACCCAGATACACTGATTGTCTGTGGGTGTTTGACACAGTAAACACATGAAGTATGAAGAAACAATGCTTTTCTCCAAATGCAGTGTCTGAAGAGAACAGTCGGAGATCATGGCTTCTCAGGGTGTGTATCCCTGAGTGTTTGGGGAATCCTTATCTTTCCTTCACATTTTCTGTGGAAATAATAATTAGGATATAGATTATTGAACTGTTGATCCGATATTGATTAAAAACTAATTGATCAGCTATGAACTTAAGAACATCTGTGCTGAATCAAGCCAAAGGATTATCTAGTCCAATATTCTGTTGCTGCGGATTTCTGTGGGAAGCCCGCAAACAGGCTGTGTCAGTGACACCACCCTCCCACTTGTGTTTCCCAGCCACTGGTATTCAGAGGACTTCTGTCTTGGATACTGAGCATAATACATTCGTAATGACTGGCAGCCATTAATAGCTTTATCTTCCATTAACTCAGATGCAGTGTTTTGCTTTGGTTTTAAGATAGGAAGCTGCCTCATATGGAGTTAGACCCTTGGCCCATCTAGCCCAATATTGTTGACACTGATTGGCAGGGACTCTCCAAGGTTTTTCTCTAGCCTGTCCTGAAGATGCCAGAGATTGAACTTGGGACCATCTGTATGGAAGACATGTGCTCTGTCAATCAGTGGTAACATAAGTTGATTATTACAAGCTGTTGCAAGAACTGTGTAAGAAAAACAACATTTTAGAAGAGGGATCTCCCTTCCCTTTTATACAGACACAGAGGGAATTAGTTTTCTAAGATGGGTGTCTGCTACATGCATGGACCTCAGCAATAATATTAATAAAGGATATGTGTCTGTATGTCTGTCTGCCAGTACCAAGACAATGAAACCTAGGGGACCCTATGTTTGTGCGCCTCTGAGTTATTTGATATTTTAAAAAACCCATTAATTAATTAATTAAATGATAAAACATTGCAGCAATGTTTTCAGTTATAGGGGCAGATTTCCCTAACCAACAGATAACTTTGTGGCTAATGCAGTTTGAAGTGAGGTAAACTGAGGGACGGTTATGCACATGGTCCCTGCTGTGGGTCTCCCCAAGGAATGGAGTGGACAGACCCCTCCATTGGGGGCTACAGAGGGCCATGCTTTCATCTAGTAATGGCTGGCAAACCAGCTATATTTGGTAATCAAGAAATAATGATAACATTCTGTTGTTCTCCTTGAAAACTCATTTTTCATTCATTCATTCATTCATTCATTTATTAAATTTGTATACAGCTGCCTATTAGCAACAAACTCTCTGGACGATCATTACACTATAAAATCAACAATTAACAATAATACAATTAAAATCTCATAACAAACAAATAAAATTAAGTCACAATAAAATTATTAAATTAAAAATAAAACATACATTAATATAATTAAAACTGTGCACTGATATACAGTAACTAGTCTAGATTGTGCCAAAGATGTGCCAGGAAAGGAAAGTTTTTGCAAGGCGTATGAAACTCAGTAAGGTAGGTGCCTAGCAAATCTCCTGCAGTAGAGTGTCTATAATTGGGGTGCCACCACAGAAAAAGCTTTTCGCCTTGCAGCCTCCCCCTGAATCTCCTTAGAGAGAGGAACTTGTAGGAGGGCCCCAGTTGAAGATCTTAAACATTGGGCAGGAATACATGGAGTAAGGCGCTCCCTAAGATACTGTATGTGTCTTTTAGGGCCTTGTATGTGATAGCTAAAACCTTGAATTCAGCTCAGACAAGAACAGGCAGCCAATGAAGGACAGGTGCAATATGTTCATAAGAACCGGCCCTCATCAACAGATGCACTGCCCTGCTCTGGATCATTTGAAGAGTCTGGACCATCTTCAAGGGAAGCCCCACATATAGTGTGTTGCAGTAGTCCAGTCTGGGGAATACCAGGGCATGAATGACTCTGGCAAGACTACCCTCATCCAAGTAGGAAGCATAGTTGGTAAATCAGCCAAAGCTGATAAAAAGTGTTCCTGGCAACTGAGTCCACCTGGGCAACCAGGGAGAACTTAGGGTCTAGGAACACCCCCAAACTATGAACCTTGTCCTTTAGGGAGAGAGCAACCCTGTGCAGGACAGGTTTATGATCTCCTAGTTGAAATGTGGGTTTACTCACCAACAGTACTTCTGCCTTGTCAGGGTTGAGCTTGAGCTTACTGGCACTCATCCAACCCATTACTGAGTCCAGGCACTGATTAAGGATAGAGACCACCAGACCTGGGTCAGATGGAAACAAGAGGCAGAGCTGAGTGCCATCAGCATACTGATGACACTTTAGACCAAGCCTCCTGATGACCTCTTCCAGCAGTTCATGTAGGTGTTGAAAAATATGTGGAATAGAATTGAACCCTGTGGTAGCCCATGACATAAAAGCAGTACTCCTTGGCGTGGTAAATTTACACAGGTACATTTAAAGATTTAACTCATTAAAAGTCGCAGGGCACTATTTAACAGATCACTTACACCTTCACTGATTCTTCCCACCAGTTCCATTGTGAAAGAGGGGCACACTGCTTATGCAAAGGAGATTTAGTTCTTCCTATGGGAAGCCCTAAGCCTAACAGAAACATTATTTATTGGAAAGAAGCAGGTTGGGAAAGCTCTCTTTGGAAGGAGCTGCCTCCTTCCAGAAACGAGTGTTTCAACTTATGCTGGGTTGCCCCCAGAATGCTAAATTGCCATTGGGCGAGGGGTTGCTTGTGCAATGTGGTTAGCAGGGCAGAAGTGCCCCACTGGCTTCAGCCCAGCGAGTTAATATACTATCATTTGGATGCCAACCATAATAAATAAAAAAACTGATCTGAGAAAAAGTATTTATGTGAACATGAACTGTGATAATTCAAAAAACATGATATGCTATTATTATACCTTACACTTACTAAATTATTTTGTGTTTTATTTGTTTCATCAGTAATAAAAGTTCACTTGAATTCAATAACTGAACTTTAAACTTTTAGCCAGTAAGAACATCTGCAATAGTTCCTAATGCTCTCTGAAAATGTTAACATGTTAGCAACTTGATCAGGACTTTCAGGAAAAGGAGATGTCCCATGAAAGATACAATCCCTTTGTGAAAGACTGCTAGCCAATATCTCATCAGATTTCAGCTGCTGAAATTTGAAATAGAGGCTTTCTGTACCCACTTACCTGGAAGTGTCATTTAATTCAGTACGGCTGGCTTCTCTTTGGTCAATTATAAGATTCCACTGGAAGAGAAAGCAGCAGCTTCATCTTGATTTGATTTATAAGAAATCTCAATTGTGAGAAATAACTGTGTCCTTCTTGACAGGGAAGCATCAAACAACATGAATCTGGCTATTGTGGTTCATGGTGGAGCTGGTAAAATTTTAAAGGAGAGGGAAGAAGGAAGTCGATCAGGTGTCAAAAGAGCAGCACTGAAAGGTTACAGTATCCTTAAACAAGGAGGGAGTGCCTTAGATGCTGTTGAAGAAGCTGTGAGGATAATGGAAAATGATCCACATTTTAATGCAGGTAATTGGTCTGAGCTTTCCAGATCATTCTTACTTATTTGTTATATTTAAATTCTGCATTTTTCCTTTCAAGGAACTCAAGGTGGCTTGCATATTTCTCCTGATCCTCTCAATCTTATCCTCACAACCAGAACCCTGTGAGGTAAGTTGGGCTGAGAGTCTGTGCTTGGCCCAAAGTCACCCAGTTGGCTCAGTGGCTGTGTGGAGACTAGAAGATGGCAGCCAGCTTTTTACTGGTAATACTGTTGTGTGTTTAATAGTAGCCTACTGTGCAGGAATTTAGCAAGTGAATTTATGCTCACCTCTTTTCCTTGTCAGGCAGCAGTTCATCTCCTAACTTCCTGCAAGTCAGGCTTCTGTGAAAGGCACCAAAGCAGTGCCTGTAAAAAAAGATGGCAACTCTAAAAAAGAATAACTTACACAAAGTTAAGGTATCTTACATAAAGGTAAATAGATCCTTTTGTATGTGTGCTGGGGGAAGAAACTGTCTATCACATGGCAATATTAATGGACAGCGATGAATACTATTTAAATTGGAGGCCTCCTTGCCATAGTTGGAAATTAAAACAACTGGTTTATACCATCTGTGCTGGTGCTTCCTGTCAGAACCAGTACAAACTCCTTTTCCTTATATTCAAAACCCTCCATGACCTTGTCTCTCTGCTCTTACATCCCAGCTTGTGATTTGCTCATCCTAAAGGCTACTCTTCCCCACGAAGACTGTGCCTCTATGCCTGGAACCGCCTGCTATAAACACCTCCATGGTGCCACTTTTCTATTAAGCTTTGGGCGCTTCTTTTACTTTTACGTTTTGGCTGCATCCCTTGGAGTGCCTTTTTCTTGCTGCCATTCAGTCTGTAATTAGGTCTAAACATGAGTAACTGAAGGAACCATAGATTGCTCTTCTGTTTACCCATCCCATCCTGTCCCCTTCCCTGTGTCCAGTTTTAGACTGCAGCTTCCTCAGGGCAGGACATGTCCCCTTGCATTCTGTAAAGCAGCATGCTCTGTGATGACATGATATAAATAATGAAATGGCTGTGGCAGTACACAAGCGAGAGCGGGAGGGCTTCTTCAGTGGTGATACCCTGGTTATAGAATTCTCTTTGTTTTGCCACTATGTTGTTGTCTGGCTCCAGGCAAAAGCATTTTTATCCCTTCTGTTTTTTTTGTTTTTGTTTTAATTAAGATTTGGAGGAAAAGGAAGTTATATTTTGAACACTATAACTGAGTCATTCATTCTGTTGACTTAATTGATTTTAAAGCTATGGTGAATTTAGGGAGTGCTCCTGCTTTTAATTGTGTGGATTTTGGGGTAGTATTTTAAATATGCAGCTGTAGTTTATTCTAATTTCTTATAGTGAACTGCCATTTGATATAATTGTATGAAAGGCAGTACACAAATGCCTTAATCTCTCTCTCTCTCTCTCTCTCTCTCTCTCTCTCTCAAGTCTAAGGAGAAGTAGGTGTTGTGAAGCGGCCATCTCAGGATTTGAGGTGTCATGAAATGGCAGCAAATTATTAACCATTTAAGGTACAATCCTGTGCATGGTTAGAAAGAACAAATCCTACAAGTTCAGCATTGCTGGCTGGAGAATGCTGGGACTTGTAAGAATGCTTTCTGTCTAAAGATGTCGAGGATCACATCCTTAATGTATTTTTTTGCACATTTTTATTAAGATTTTAACATCACTTGATCAAAGGCTGCTAGGTCTTTATAAAACCCCCATATTTTATAATCTTTAGCATATCTTGATTGCATCTGCACCTTATACCACCACAAGATATTGAGTCCCTGTTCTTATATTTGTCGATCTAGGTTCAGGCCTCCATCCTAATCCAAAATATCATCATATCTTATGATCCCTTCAAAATTCAATACATTTGGATACACAAAAAGCTTCCATAGGTGAAAGCCATCTTGGTAACTTATTATACAATTTTAACTTTAATTTTTCCCACACTGACATTAATGATCTTCTAATAAAGTGACTTTAAAAGTCCCATGAGACTTAACCTTCTCATACCACATATAAGCCTGCCAACCCATTTGCAAATCATGTCCTTCAAGATACAAAATTCTCTTATTTCACAAGGTTATCCATTCTTTTAGCCAAGTTAAAATAGAAGCTTGATAGTACAACATCCAGTCTGGTAAACCAAAACCCCCATTCTTTTTGGTTTCCTGAAGCATTTTCAGTTTAATCCTTGCTTTCTTTTTTCTCCAAATAAATCTCAAAATTTGAAAATTTAAATCCTCAAAATTTTTTTTATCAATTTTTACAGGAATCATTTGGAACAAAAACAAAAGTTTTGGTACTATATTCATTTAACCAGTGCAATTCTTCCCATCAACGACAGTTGTAAATTTGCCCATCTTTCCAGATCACCTTTAATATCTTTCAATAATTTATCATAATTGTCTTCTTTCAAAGTTGTGCATTTAGCTGTAAGATAGATTCCCAAGTATTTAACCTTTTTGACAATCTGCAAGTCCACTTGTTCTTGGAGTCTTTTTTTCTGATCTTGCATAAGATTTTTAACTAAAAGTTTCATTTTTTCCTTATTTATTCTCATCCCCGTAACCTCACCATATTCTTCAATCCGTTGTAAAAGTTTAGGGATTGTTACAAAAGGTTCCTCTATTATAAAGACCAAATCATCTGCGAATGCTTGCAATTTATACTTTTCATCCCTAATTTTAGTACCTTTAATGTCCTCGTCATCCCTAATATTTCTATTCAAGACCTCTAAAGTCAGGATGAACAGCAGGGGTGACAGCGGGCATCCCTGCTTTGTACTCTTTTGTATCTCTATAGCCCTTGTAAGTTCTCCATTAATTAAAATCCTGGCCGACTGTCTTTGATAAATGCTTGATATCGCATTCATAAATTTTCCCCCAAACTCCATTTGGTCCATCTGGTGTATCATGAATTGCCAATTAACATTATCAAAGGCTTTCTGGGCATCTAAAAACAGCCATTGATTTTTCCATGTGTGTCTCGTAGTATTCTAGAATATCCAAAATAGTCCTCAGATTGTTCTTCATTTGTCTTTTAGGCAGAAAACCATTTTGGTCTGGATGAATAAAGTCTATTAAAAACTTCTTCAACCTTTCTGCCAATATAGAGGCAAACATTTTATAGTCCACATTTAATAATGATATGGGTCTGTAATTTTGAATCTGTGTTAAGTCCATATCTTTCGGTATTAATTTGTGTATTTTGTACCTGTAGTCGTCCTTCTCCATCTTTCAGTTGTGAAATCAATCTCTTCTCTCTTTCTTTTTTTTACTTTATATGCTAGCCATCTCCCCAGTTTATTAGCATTTTCAAAAAAATTCTGTATAGCCAATTTCATTTGCTTAGTAAGTTCATTTGTATCCAAGAGATTCACTTTGTGCTTTAAAATATTCATGTGGACCTTAAGATTTCTTTTTGTTGGATCCTCAATTCTTCTACTAATGTTGCTCGCTCTTGCTTTTTCTTTTTTTTTAATTTTTGCTGAGTAGGTTATTATCAGTCCCCTGACATAGGCTTTAGCTGTATCCCAGACATTCTGTAAAGAAGTTTCTTCCACTTTGTTTATTTGAAAGAATATTTGCATCTCTTTGCTTATCTCTTCTATAAATTTTTTATCTTTTAGTAACGCTTTATCTAGACTCCATCTGGGCATCCTTGCAGCTCCTTTCAATGATATAAATACAGGATTATGATCCACCCAGACATTTGTCTTCATTTCAGCTTCTATCACATATGACATTAAGTCTGGAGTTATCCAAACCATATCAATTCTAGACCATGACCTGTGTCTGTCTGAGTAAAAAGAATAGTTGGCCGAAGATGGGTTTTTGTGCCTCCAGGCATCTGTCAATCTGAATTCTTCAGTCAAGTTGGAACAAGACTTTGGAAGCATCCTCCTACCCTTTTTTCCCCTTACTTTCACTCTTGTAATTGATTCCCTTATTCACAATTGCATTAAAATCGCCCATTACACACACAGACTGATAGTCCACTTGTAAAAGTAACATACGTAGTTTTTGATAAAAAGTTTCCTGATGGTCATTTGGTGCATATATTGCCACTAAGAGCATCTTTTTAAGTTTAATTGTAATTTCTACCATCAAGATCCTACCGTCCTCATCAGCAAGAATATATTTAGGGTCCAATTTTTCTTTAACATACAGTGTTAAACCTCTTTTCTTTTGCGATGTAGAAGATACAAACAATTTTCCCAGATTTGAACATTCCAGAAGTGTAACATATTGTTTCTTCATATGTGTTTCTTGTAGACAAATTATATCTAATTTCCATGTTTGAAGTTGAGCAAAAATCCTTCTTCTCTTAGATGGTCCATTTAGTCCATTAACATTTAAGGAGAGCAATTCAATTTTCCCTTCCTTTTTTAAGAGCCATATTTAATAAAATTATTTACTTTGCCTTTACAGTTCTACCTTTTTTTCCCACCTTTGAGTCCAGAGTCTTTACTTCTTGTTGTGAATCAGCCTTCAGTATTTCTCCTTCTTCAGTGGTACGATGTTATTTCCATTGCTTCGGCACCTCTTTCTCCTTCTTTAGAGATGACAGGATCCTCCTCTTCTAGCATAACTCTAAATTTTTCATAGAACTCTTGTGCTTTAAGAATTGAATCCAATTTATATCTTACAGAGTTCCATGTAAAAATATTCCTTCTGGTGTTAGCCACTTAAAGATAATCTCTTTCTTGATCAATTTTGTAGTAAGGAATTGATATTTCTTTTTTCCCTCTCTAATCCTCCATGGAATTTGTTTCAGGACCATCACCTCTTGATGATCATCTCTCTTTAACGGCTTCTCCTGTATGGCCTTCAAAACATTATCTCTTATAGACCTTAGAGCAAATTTGACATGGACTTCTCTTGGAAGTTTATTTTTTCTGGTATAAGAGGAGTTGACCCTAAAAACAAGATCAATTCCCATACCCATGACTTTGTTCTCGATTTCTAAAAGCTCCGCCAACATG